AATAGGTCCCAGGCAAAGGCATTTGATGCCTTACGTACGTCCTAATGAGGAATCTTCATCGGAAACTGAAAATCGTCTTACAAGTCGGAGAGAGTCGAGTAGTGTTTGCAGCCGCTTGAAGAGCAAAATATCTATACATATAAATAAAATTGGAGTGTCTGTTTGTAATATTAAAATAACCGCTGTTTCCTAAATACATATGGATGTTTACACGGTACATATACGAAAATAAGATTACAATTTTTGTCTGTTCGTATGTCTGTTTGTTCCGGCTAATCTCTGATACTGCTGGACCAATTTGGACGGGACTTACACTGACAGAGAGCTGATGTAATAAGGAGTAACTTAGGCTACTTTTATTTTAGAATTTTTTTAATTTTAAATTCCACGAGGACGAAGTCGCGGGCACAGCTAGTGTTTAATACAATTTTAAAAAGTTATCCCCTATATGTGTGTTCATTTATTGTCGCGATTGTAAAGACACGTTGTATTTATTATTATATTCATTTAATTCTATTTTTCATTAATCATCATTTTATTTTGTTATACGTTACAGCAAAACATTAATAATGTTTGTATTTGCAGGTAAAGACTGATTCTTTTCCTCATCCTGAAAATGATAGTGACAGATTTAAAACATGGATTCAATCGATTGGAGGAAATTTACTGATTTTGGATAGCCAATAAAGAATTTAACGTAAATAATTTACTAAACGGCACCAGACTCGAAATCATTCATAACAAAGATTATAAAAAATATAGTGAGTGAATATTATAAAAAACGAAATAAAGTTCTCAAAACATATTTCTGTATTTTATTTACTTTATCCAAAAATAACATCCAATATATCCAATTACAGTTTTCTATACAATGTTCTCAAATGTAATTTAAATGTCATATACACTATATAGAAAACTGTAGTTTAATACAGCTCTTATCTATAAAACAAAATGGTTAAGGATAGGTAAATACATCTGAACTTGTAGTTCGGTAAAGCATCAAGACATGGCGCTCTCTCACGAGGCCACAAATAACTCTATTCTAATAATATACTCTTTGATTATTCCAGTATCTATGTGAGAAGGTGGCAAGTGTGCTGGCGGTTCACCTAATGTTAAGTGATAACCGCTGCTGATTAACATATGCAACACCCTTAGGGTCACAGATGCCTTGCCAACGTTTAATAAACTCCCGCTGCGGCTACCTAACTCAACAGATAAAAAACGCACAAGTAAAAAATATCCACTTCTTGTTGGTCTTCTGTAAGGTTGTGGTACTTACGATGGTACATCTATGACTGTACCTGTCCATTTGTACAACAGCGAAGACTCTTAGACTCTTAGTAATAAGGCCGCCCATTGTATCCATTACTTCTACATTAAGTTTTAATTTTTGTTTGTTTTATTTGGTGTGCAATAAAGTATATTCATTCATTCATTCAAGACTGTTTCATGGTGCTACCTCATTAAAAGCAAAAATATAAATAATAACATTTAAAATAAATATTAAGTGGCTTATCGTTAATACAATGATTGAAATTTGAGAAATAAATAAAACAAACCAGATATTAATTTAATTTTTATTACAAAAAATTATTACAAATCATTCAACTTAGTTTCTATCGTTACAGGCTAAACTATAGTCTACACTTATGTTGCTAACACTTAAGATAGATGGATGTTGAAATACTGGCAGTGGAAAAATACATTATTTAAAATATGATACAGCTAAGTAAGCTGCTAGTGACAACTATTGCCTAGTAAGTGGCAATTAAAGTAAGAGTTATTGGTAATTCTTAATTCTAGCCATGTCTAAAACCTAGCAAGAATGTTCAGTGGTTTCCCATATGGGCAGCTTTTTTGCGAACTATCAGTTGAGATAGAACAAACTGTCTAAGTATTATTTACAAAGGGCAATCCCTCTATTGTATTTATAAAAATATTTTATACAAAAAGCACCCTAAGTTTGACATTTTGTTTATCATAGATAGCGATTACTTGTACAAAACCTGGATACCAAATTTGTAGTGTTTCTTATGTTTACTTTAAGTGCAGTAACTATACTACACTGACAGTTTACTTCAACATTCCATACAATCTAATAGATGTAGTTCATTGCTATACTTGTATTGTCTGCGAATTTGCATGGACGATATTTAACACAAAAAAGAAATGAAAAAAAAAAACGTGAATTTTGTGGGAAATCTGATGAAGTTTCCTCTCATTATAAAGTTAAATCACAAATATTATATAACAACCCAGTAGGTAATAGAAACAAAGTAACACCAACATGTAACTTGTTAGAGGTCTAAATTGTTAATGTTCCAGAGGCAGGTGTTTAAGTATAACATAGCAGCTGACAACAAAAAAGAATGCCTCTTCTCACTAATATATATAACTTTTTTTTCAAATTTCTAATAGACATTAAAATTTAGATACCAAAATTATTTTATATGTTGAAGCTTACCTACATATATACAAATACCGCATGTAATACTCAAACACATTCTATTAATCGGTAATGTTTAATTACCATAGAGTAAATGTCACAGTAATGGTTAGAAAGCCATGTGATATTCATATTTTATGAGATAATCATTATCCTTATATTAGTGACTAACACATATTGAAGAGGCATTTATTGCTTCCATGAAGAAGAAAGGTTTCTATTACAGAGGATTTTTTTTTAAAATGCTTCAACCAGACAAATCACAGACAATCTTATCCATAGTCCAATGAAAACACCTCCTAATACACAATCACAAAAACTACAAAGTACTTGGTATATTTTCTACCACAATATTCACTGTGAATGCCAATCACTCACAGGTTGTGAGATAAATGATTAATAGCAATCTCATATCACAGTTTTCTCTAATCTAAGTGATTACCATAGTAAGAAGAGACTGCTATGACTTTTAAAATTAAGTTCACACATGCATGGATTGGTCTGTACTTAAGAGTTCCTTATAATAGTTGAAGACCTCTATAAGACCCACATGGGCTAAGTAAAAAAAATATCAATGCGTTTGTTATTGAACAATCTGCTCTAAGATTATCATTTACTTGTATTATGGTTATTTTAAACTTGCATGACTTTACAGATCTTATTTTGTGAATTGTCTTAATTTCAGGACAATTTATTTTGAAGTCACAACCAAATAACTACAGAAAAATAAGTTTAACAGGATAACCACTTGTTAAACTGTAAGTCAGTATTTAGTAAATAAAAAGGTATAAGTAAATATTACCTTTATTCCATTTACTAGCTTCATGATAATAGAAAAAAAACCTTTGATTGCATAATTTTAAACTATGTAGATTCATTGTGATCTCTAGTATACAAAAGGCCTAAATTTATCATTTGATTTCTATATATGAGAATTATCTTAAAATAACAGATATACCTATATGCATTTTAAATCAAGACAACACTAATTTTGTTTGCTATTTTATTAAGCCAATATTGTTTTAACTGAAAAAAACCTAGCACTGATGTACAATTAAGTTACATAAAAAAACTCAATCAAACATGGTTAAAGTTACAGTTTATTATTGTTTAAACTTTACATTTAGAGCACAATATATTACAAATTATCAAACAGAATATTCCTTGTATTTTTATGCTTATCAATTAAAAAAAAATTATTGTGTGCCTTTGCAATGAAGTGATATTGTACTATAGAAAAAATTATAATAAAGTGATAATAAAGACATTAATTATAAGCTAAATTCAAATGCTTAAAAAGTTATACAAATACAAGTTTTGAAAATTGTTCAAAACTCATATTCATGAAATTTCATTTAAGCTGAAATAATTCATTCTAGTTATCATACATTTTCAATTTACAAGACATGACATGCAATAAGGTTAATTAAATTTGAGCCCATACCAAATTATTTAAAGAGACATAAGGTGTAACTTAATTTAAAAAGAAGAAATAAGTACATAAAAACAGTATTTCCTTGCAAGGATTCCATAAGGTGTCCATAGGTTACTGTTTTGTTATTGCACACAGTTTTGTAATTTATATAGCATGGTCTCAAAAATAAATTTTTGGTTTCAATTTAAAGAACTTTTTGGAAATGAAAGCAAATTTTTACAATCTCATTTTATAAATTCGAATAGTTGTATATATTAGTATTATTAGGCAATCATTAGAGACAAAATTATGTTAAGTTACTTTTTAGTAAAGGAAATTAAAAAATTTTAAACTTAAAAAATACATTTGTTTTATGTAACTTGTTGGAACAAAAATTTTGCCAATGTGGTTAATTCTCACAAATAAGGTGAAATTTTATATTAAAATGATTGATAAAAAATTCACGAAATTGAAAATTTTAAATACAATCACTATGTATATAAAAATTGGCTTTCATTTGCTTTGTACAGCTCTCAAATCTTGAGGTCATCATGTCAAGAGATTCTTTTGGTAGCTGCCTGCGTCAATACATAAAAAGCATACATGAAACACAGATATGTACATATACAAGCGGTGGGATATTATGAACATACCCGCTATGCCATGTGCTGTTGCTATCAGACATTGCCCAATTCTTAAAAACATATTCCCATCAATGTGTGACTGCAAGAGCATATATTTTGTACTGACAGTATATGGCTAAACCATCCAAAAACCATTAACTAAACAATGGAAAACCATCAAAGTCAATTATGCTAAACTGCACAAGTGAAGTACGGGCCTAAGCTTGTGTCACTTAACAATAACGAACTTTTACACAGTGAATGATATGTAACAAGTGTTCGGCATTAATGTAAAAATGTAAATACACTTATCTGGTACGGACTATCACGATCTCTTTCTTTTAATTTACAGTCTTTAAAACACACTCACATTTAACCGTTCACATCTAGATTGCTAATTCACACAGTTATGAAATTTTATAAGGGATCTTCACTGGATACACACTACATTCCTAAGTCATCTCCACACTAGTAACTTTACTATCACGTCACCAACGTTTATTGCTGTCGATTAGATTAACGCCACTCGGTTCACAAGAGGAGTTTTCCGTCTGCTTGTATGCGTCGGTGTCGACACCGGTTGAAAGATGTAACTTGTCTTTGCTCTTTTTGCTGAATGAACTGAAGAAAAATAGTGGTATGAGACTCTATAACAATCATTTTTGTTTTCTTTTTTATAAACATTGCCCTCACTTTAGGATAACATTATCCTGTGTTGTAAGGATGTTTTACAAACATAAATTTCACGTGGACAAACACCCGTTCCCGTGTGGGAATCGAACCTACAATCCCCGACGCCGAAGCCACATACCTTGGCAATTGCGCCACGGAGTCATCACATTTTACTATATACATTATTAGCGAATTCTGAAATTTCATTAATGTATAATGCAATAATTATAAAAATTTAATGGCTAATGAGTTAGGTTAGGTACCAAGAGGACTAAATCTACCTGCACAGTTACTACACCATAATTTATTAAATTATAACATACATTTTTTTGGTTTTGCTTCTACAAGCTAATACTTGTAAAAGCTAATAATTCTATATAAAATTCTTAGTTTTAGTAAACTCCCATCGAAAGCGGACAATCCCTTTTATTTCCCGTTAATTATATGAGAAAACTTACTTGTGTAATTTTCCGTCATTGATAGATTGAGTTTCACGGGTTTAGTTACATCAATATCAATATCTTCATATGAATGGTCCAATACCTGAAACATTTGCACTCATTGATACTAAATCCTCAACTATGTATATATACTACCTCAAAACAAAACAGACTTCAAATATATAACTCACTATACATTTTCTATTTGATTTTGAGGAGTTCTGTGGTCTGTCTCTGAATTTCAAGTTCAAAAACCAAAATGTTGAAAAAATGGCCGTCATATCATTCATACATCACGCTTAGAATTGACGATGAAAATATGAACCGTTAAATTTATTTTTTATTGCATAGTTTGACCGGAAATTCTTTTACTGCTGTGGGATATGTTAAAAAGATTTATTTTAACTCACTTCAATATCGCTAACTTCTTCGCTTGATTCAATATCCGTTATGTATGACGTGAGAGAGGAGGGCCCTGTTGCAAGTAGACGGTAAGTGCCACCAACCATTCCAGTTCCCTCTACTACCTCTTCCACTTCCAACTCTTGATCGGACGCTTCCTGAAAAAAGGTTTTATGATAGTGTTTTAACTGTAAACAATTAAAGAACATTTTAAATTTACAACACTTAATGTTTATTTGATCACAAATTTAAAATTGCCTGTAAAAATACAATAGCTGTTGACTAAAAGGTAAATAAGTTTCAGTGACAAACTTCAATCATTCTAAGTAACTTTATTATTTATTTACTTTATTAAATGATATTGGTTTACACTAGATTTGAGTTACTAGTAATGCCTAACTTTGAGCCACAACAGATATTCTCATAGTTTAAACAGGTTTCTTATCGCTAACGAAGAAATTGACTTGTAATATGTTAAGGAAGTGTTGATGCTTTCTCGTTCCTAATTAGTACAGATGCACTCGAACGTTAACGAATTGTATCGCCTGCTATTTAATCCGATAATAATACGTGTGTGTATCTTCAAGACGATTGAATAGGCTTGCACCGAGCATTAGTTTATTTACGAGCTTTAGTTATTAGCCCCAATGCCCCTTACTATCAATAATTGGCAATGTCCGCGCAAGGTGTGGTGTCCTTGGTGGCCCTTCAGATTTAAGTACCTGCAAAGTCTGTGTCGGTTTCTTTGGCTCTGCTGAATTAAATTGATATCATCTTCTACATGTAGACGTTAAGCGCAAATACCAATCAACTTTGTTTAACCAAAGATCATTACAGGTGTGGTTGTATTTAGGTACAAGCCTGTTCACAAACAAGGGTCATGCCGCAGGTGACGTTTAAAACGTGCGACCATTTACTTGTTCTATAATGGTTTCTTCTTCCTCGACTTCCTCCTTAACCTCGGGGTCGATTTCGAGGTCGGCGTCAAGCTCGACGTCTGCGTCGGGATCCGCATCGTCCTCCGCTTCGGTGTCGCTCGCGAACCCGCTGTATTTCATCTCGCCTCTCTCCAACGCCTCGAGGCTATCTGAAATGCACAAACAGAACAGGGTCCTTAGTATTACAATGGGTTTTTTAGACTAAAGGGTTTTTTAGACCTCGGCTGTTGCTCGAACGGGCAGGCTCGTCCTAAGTACCACGACCTCACAGATCGACGTCACGTGGAAGTACAATACTTTCGCGTTTCGTCTGGTGAGTGTGGTAGCTGGAGCCCAATTTTCAGAAGGTTGTCAATGCATTTGCAACCCTCGGGTGTAGCAGATGTTTATTTGCGGGGGTATTCACTTAACATCAGGTGAACCGTCTGCTCTTTTGGCAACTCGTTCACATATAAAAAAATATTTTTCTTAGATTTTGTTTAGTCTAGATTGTCTCTCATCAATTATGAAACGGCACACCAACTATTATTAATGGGACATAATCAGAACGAGGAATAGTTCGTAGTTTTTTATGACTAATGCCGATTTTGTATTTTATGTGGTTGTGCATCAAGTCTAAACGATCACTACGACCTAGAAATATTTATTCTTTGATTATAAACAAAAAAAAAGAGCCGTGATAGCTCAGTGTCCGGGCGCAAAGTATATAAACAAAAAAAAAAGAGCCGTGATAGCTCAGTGTCCGGGCGCTCGCCTTTAATTCAATATACTCGAGCAACCTGAGTTCGTTCCCCGGTTCCGGCACCAATGAAGTTTTTAACTTAAAGTGCTGACTTATCACGTGCTCCGCGGTGAAGGAAAACATCGTGAAGAAACCTGCATATTTTCGAAATAATAACAAAAAATATATATTTCGAAGATATGTGAAGTCCGCCAATCCGCAGTGGGACATGTATAGGCTGTTACTTTTATATAAACAAAGGATTTATTGTTGCCCTTCAAAAACATGTATGATAGTATTATCCTGTGTTGTAAGAACGTTTTACATACATTCATTTCACGTGAACAAACACGAAACAATTTATCTGTGGAGCTTTTAGCTAGGATCCAATCGTTTAGGGATGACACAATCCATAAACATGGAATTATAAAAATGATTGACGAACTAGTTCCTATAATGTTTTTATATTTTTTCCTGTGGTTGCTAATGTTTATAAGGTTGATATTTTATTTTGGTGAAATTCTGTAATGTGACAAATTAGTGTTCTCAATAGATTTTCAAAGTTTTACCTGGATAAACCATAGCATTTTTAATGGCTTGCGGATCTTTTCGTGACCATTTCAATACCTCTTCATCCATTTTCCCGACTTTCGAAGGATTCATCGCCCACAAACAACCTGTAAAAACCAAGGGGTGTCAAAATTACAGAATGTCTAAAGCGTTGTAGCACGTTCACACTTCATTTATGTTTGCGTACCTTTCCTCTGACTGCCGTTCGTAGAGGGCTTTTCAATTTTTTCGAAACATTTATTCAAGCTAAGATTGTGCCGCACTGAATTCTTCCACCCGCTTGGGGCAGTCTTGAAGTACGGGAAATGTTGACTGTAACATAACGACAATTGTTATTTACATTAGTTTTTTAAAAGAATCAATAAAGGGCACTAGAAAGCGATTACGCACCACATGAAATTATAAATCTCTGATACGGGCAAACTTCCTGTCCGAGAGTTTTTTAGTGCCATTGCTATTAAACACGAATAAGAGTACGCTGGTTTCGGGAATTCCCCCACGATGGCCTTACTGCTCGTATTCACGAACTTCCCTTGGCTGGTGTCGACCTTAAAAGATCCATTAACCGCAGTTTTTATAATTTGCCTATTGCCCCCCAGCGACGAATTGTCTATCAGAATGGTGGCTTGATTCTTGTTGCCATTCGCCAAAATTGTCCTAGATTGCTGCGCGTCCAGTATATGTATATTGCCTGAGATTATTGTTTTTGTTCCTATTTGCTGGGCCATCTTCTGACTGGTGTTTAGTATAGAGCAGTTCTTATTGTTCAGCTTGATCACTTCCGGTTGGGAAGTTTTAATGCGTACCGTTTGATGTGTACCCGATTGTGTTGATCTGGTTTTATTTGAGTCCACGTCCAAGTCTTTGAGTAAATCCTTCACTACGTTTTTGTCTTGCTTCCGAACATATATTAACATTTGCGTCGAGTCCTCAGTGGTTTTTTTGTTTTTGGGCTCATCGGGTTCCTGTACTTTGGCCACTTTAATTGCGTTAGGCGAAAAAGTCAGATGGCTTTTCTCCTCTTTGGGACTAGCTAGAGATATGGTGTTGTTTGTGTCGTCACCGACTGCTGAAGTGAGTAGGAGGTTTGACGCTTCCTCCTTTACAATGTTCTTCACCGGTGTATCGGCGAAGGTTGAAGGCATTACAGAATTCGGATTGACCATCACAGCATTTGCCTCGGAGCCGTATAAATCTAAGTTGTGAACGAAACTAGACGAGTTATTAAGCCACGTGACTGAATTGTCCGTATCTATATCTAGTAAAGGTGGCAGTTCGGAGAAATTTAATCCTAGCGAGTCCTGAAAAAAAAAAAAAACATTGTTAAGAACGCATAAATAAGCACCGCAATTTAATTTTTCTTCTGAACTCTACTCACTGGGAAGTCTGTGATACTGCTTAGATCTGTTGCTATTTCATTTTTGATATCCATATCCAGCATATCCTGGAGTGAATCGGTTATGTATAGATCCATATCTAAGCACGCCTGCAAATATATACATGTATAAATAAATATAAGTTAAGAATCCAGATTTTTACTATAAGATAAAGATTGAGATATTTAGAAATAACATATTCTTACAAAATTTATAGTATTAACGAACATAATAGGCATCTTTTCGACAACTTTTATATTTTTATACGTTATTAAAAATTGTTTTGTGTGTATAATTCGATCGATTCTCGATCTATGTTTAAGCTATATTTAAAAAGTACAAACGATAATTATTCCTAGTTAGAATATTTTAGGAAAGCATACAATTTTCGCATTTGATGTCACACAAGTAGTCGTCAAACTTATCCATACAAAGCGAATGGGGCGGCCACGGTGCAGCGCAGCCGCTGTTTAGTATAGAAACCTGTTTCCGTCTTATGGTATGCGCTACCCTAGCTGAGAAAGAGATATGTGTACTATTGCCTTTTCGCTTACGTAAATCGAGTGACCTAAATATTATTTTGATAATATTAAGAGCCTGTAACGAACTGTGCCTGCACTATCCACGCTTAGTCAGTTTTTTATTAAATGGAATTGGTGGACATTACTGTTTTATCTATACATTACCTTTCTACTATCTCTGTGAGAGTTTTGATAATATTTGATACATTTAATTATGAGGACCTATACCAATACATAATTTGTTATAGTTGATGGGGCGAACTGAACGGCTCCTACCTAGAAACGTGAACAAAAAACGCTAGTCAGCCACCGGAGGCTTCCAAGATTCGGGACGTTGTTTTTTTGTCTGCACTTTAACCGTATATCTATTATTAGGAGCGTCCGACTGTTACATGCTTAGCTTTCTATTAAACTTATGAGGGTTTTACTTTCATCTACTTCCGATCGGATGTAGAAGTTGTTTCTAGAAGTGGAATCCTATGGAAGTTGTCAACAAATCATTGGAAGTAGAGCGCGTTAGTTAAATATGAAAAAAAATACGATTAATTTTTAAGAGTAAATTAATTTATTTTATGTAACTGGCAGTAAAGAAAGGGAGATTATAGAATGTAATGTAAATGAGATAATAATCTCGTACAATCGGGATTGCAAAGCGGTAATATTATGTAACAGTTAATCTAATATGGTGGAAGCCTCAAGAATGTCCATTATATTTTTATCAGAGTCTACCTTTTTAACTGAATTGAATTGAAAGTCGTAGATATTTCAAGTATGACGAAATCAAAACAACGTAATGCATTTAGAATACTGTTTCTCAACGATAAAATAAGCAAGTACATGCTTCAGTAATTTTTATACATCTAATTTGAAGGAATTCGAAACGAGTGCAATGACAGATATAAGTTTACTCATGTGTGATTGACCAATCACAAGTCAGGTACTGATCAGGTTTATCTACTTATCACGCAATCGTTATCTTTATTTACCAATTTCGCGCGGAATTGGGAGTGTAAACAAAATGTTAGGAAACACATGTAACGAATTTCCTTTACATACCACATTAAAACAACTTTAATAGTAAATTTGTATACACTTGGGCGACATAATGCTTTAATATTAGCATTGATAGATTGAATTTCAAAGAATCATACAGACAAGTCCGCTTCTAAGCATAAACGCTTTTTGACTAAAGCTAAATTATTGTGGAAGAAGTTATGTCAGGCATGAAATAAAAAAAAGCTATCGTTAAAACCAACACTGTAGAGGAAAGGTTTCCGAAAGAGACGTACAAGTACAGGGGTGGTAGAAAGGGATGGCGAGAGGAGATCGAAAACGGGTGAATCGACCCCTAATGATATTGCAGCCGGCTTTGCGTCCTTTCAAGCGGGGTAGGTAGGCAGCGTTTGAACAACGAAAACGAAGCGGGGAGGGGTGCTTAAAATTTTGTATTAAAATGGGACGGACCTTTGTTACATTCATTTTAAATACTACGAACTGATCTTATTTCAATACTATTGAATACAAAACATAATATCCATTACACAAGACCGCCGAATTCGCAATTTTATAAATTCTTCTTCGGCAGTCTTGTAAATTATAATATAAAAATGTGGATCACTTATAGGAGGCATTATCATATAATGCCTTGTAAAAGAAATAATTTTCTTATATGAATTGTCAATTAAAAGAAACATCTTAAAAGTCCAACATAACTCACACTGGAATGTATGAAAAACGCCAAATTATTAGACTTTTTTTTACTTTAAAATATGTAGAAAACATTTTTTGACATTTAGTCCTTTAATATACGATGTGCAGATCAATTCGATTGAAAAGTCGTTCCACCTTGTAGTTATCTAAGAAAAAAAATTCATTGCACATTATTATTCAAATTGACATTATGTTAGTGTTACACGGGCCGAAAACATCCGTAGATCCGTCTTACAACAGAGCCATGCCCCACGGGGGCTATGAACCCATCATTCTTTATTATTTAGAGTTCATTTTGCTTGTAATAACACAAAGAAATGAACGTCTCTTTTGTCTGGTATTAATGATACATTTAAATGTTCTAAATCATTATAACTTGATTTTTGGATACCATCAAGATGATTAGTTTCAGACTGTATGTTAATAGTAAGTAGGAGATCAATATGTTTACATTTGTAGTTTTGATGTCTTGTCAACGTTGCATCTTGTTATGTGGATAAAATAATTATATTATTTTTTTAAAGGAATATGTGATTATCATCAAATCTAATAAAACTTCCGGGGCGAAACTCAAATGTTCGAGCGTCGCGCGTTTTCATCGTTGAAGTTTAGAACTAAGCAATGTGGTTCAGTAAGGTATCGTACACAAGTGCGACTTTTTATTTCGAGAAAAAATAGAGATGAACACTGTTAAATTATGATCATTGGTTAAAGCACGTCACTGATATTTTTTTATTGTAATATAAAACTATAAATAAGACGGGATATCAACGGATAATAAAGGATGTGCTCTACTAAATTTTAATATTCATGTATATAAAATAGTAATTAACATGGTCAACATTAAAAAAAAACTCTTGACTATATATTGTAACTTATATGCAGGCACCAATTTTTTATTCATCTGAACATATTGAAGTTTGGAAAAATTTCTCCGTATGCAGTAACCCTATTCGTGTTGCCGGTGGATATAGAGGGGAAGATGAGTGGGAGGGGGGCCTGCGGGGAGGTGGGACCTACACCGCCCGCGCCATCACGCCGTGTCCTCGAACCTGACCGCGTGCGATCGCCTTGAACTCGACGTGCTCGGCTCTTGAACAAATTACCTTATATCTTTTATGCCGATGGAACGCCGTGAAAAATTCCCGCCCAGAAAATCATCTTAAAATGGAACAAAGACATAACAATTACCTTTTCGGTTTTACCTCCATAGATATTCTCTTACTGCAACAAGATTAAAAATCTCAGAAAATTGTTTGTATATAGGAAGAAAAATGGCAGTCCGTAGTTACTATCTCTATGTGAAAATCATGAGTATTTATTTGGGTATACGGACAATATAAATGTATTTAGGTTTGAAATAAATATTTGTTCCAAATGTACAACTTTTACAAATATTATTTTAGTCTTTTATGAATACAATAACTCTAATGGGTAAAGAGATGAACTGCTTCCTTTTAAGTAGAAAATTAATGTTACTTTATACATATAAAACATAATTATTCATATCAAGGAGTTGGCGCGAAAACTACATAATATACGACTTTTCTCTCTGCGCGCGCATCGCCACAAAATAGGAGGGGTTCTGTATTGATTGAATGTGCGCGCGCAGTCACTCCCCTTGTACTACAGGCGTCTACTTTCCTGTTTCTAACAGAGGGAGGGAAATAGAAATATTTTACGCAAACTTTCATCCTGTACCTTGGTACCCGCGTCTAGACGACACAAACATTCAAATAATATATAAATATTTTATTACTTTATTATTGGTATATGTATGTATTGTAGTATGAGAACAAATTGGCTATATAAGTTGATAGCTAAAAATAAATCATTTATAATAATGAAGACAAAACAAGAATCGCCAATCGCTATGAGATGCTATGCGATATGAGCGAGGTCAATGTCCTAGCAGTTGAAATACTGACTCAACTTTGCAAAAATAGATAATAATTTTTACGTTATTTAATAGACACAACATTCCGTCCACGAAGACTGATAAAAAACTATATTTATAGACGAATTCAAATAATTTAAAAATGGTTATTTTACTTAATATATTACGCAAACACGATATATCTATATAAATAGGTTGTATCACTTGTTCACGATAAATATCTGGTTCATTAATTTTCATATATCTACAACTTAATTCAAGCCAACGTATCCATTTTACTTTGGAGAATATCAACATGCTATGGATTATTAAAAAAGCGAACATTTTAAATGAAATTAAAGTTTAGCATTTATTTAAATTTTTTATGTATTTTAAAGTCTATACTATTTATTTTTCATTCGTTTTTAGGTCGTAGGAAGGGAAGGCGGCTGGCTGACGGAACGTAGTAAAGTGCAGGTGTGTGTGAGACTTGAAAGACGATGCATTTCTTAATCATACGAACTACAACATTCAAAGAAACTCACACCTCGATAGATAGCAGCCACCAGTCCCTTTTCGTTAGTTATACTTTCCAAAGAATACACATTGCAGTAGTCCCTTTATCCAGAAAAAGACAAATTGCTTATTTTATTGTACTACTTATGTGTATTTTATTGTACCATCATATAACTTATGGTCAGGATGCATTTTAAGCGATCGATTCAAAGTAATTTAAATAGATAAGCGAATATTACACATTTTAATAAAAGTAATGTATGGACCCGCGGTTTATTTTAGTTTTAAACTCCTAACTTTTAGGACGAATATTTTACAGCATTCATGGTCACAAACTGAACTGCCCCTCAGTTCAGTCTGTGTATATTAACGCACCTATAAAATATAATTTAAATATACCACGATGATCCGTAAATAACTGTTATTACTTATATTATTATATACTGAAGTCTAAACTTTAGTTTAATGATCAGATTTTTTTTGCTAAGACTAGAACAATATTCATTTAATTTGTCATGCGACAAAATAAATGTTGTAATAAAAATAAACAGACTTTCTGCAATATGCGCTCTTGTGCACTATTACGCACACACGTGGAGAATCATCGTGTAACATAACAACACGGGCACAGAGTGCACTCATTGTTAAACGTTTTGAAATTCTTGTTCAAAACCAGCCGTGGGAATAAAATTACTTTGTTGATTTACTAATACCATTTGCCGTTATAAGTAATTCATTTTATGTATAACAAAAGTTTAACTATTTATGCTAGGAATGTTTACAAATAATTAGTTTTTCACGTGGATCGATTGTTCGATTCTTAAAGATTTTACCAATTGAAAGAATGTAAACATAGGTACATATATCTACCTACTATCCAACACACTACTCACAACCGTTTGTAAGTTCATTGACGGGGAATTGGCGCCGTTTTAACCGTTACGAATGTCTATAAAAGTAGATGGTGAGTTTTATTAATTACGCAAATAACGTCATTAAATAAAAACGAAGAAAGTCATTAAAAGGTCTTGGAGACGCCAAAATAAACATAATTGGATAAAACATTAGTAATAATAATTCGCAGGCTGTCTCGTTCTATCACCCCATACGTTAAGAGTAAAGAACAGAGATAAAAGACGAAACATTTTATCCGTTATAAATCTATACCTCGTGTCAATTTATTCTTTAAGAACATCTAAATGAATATTAAAAACGTTATAAATCTGTAGCGAAATCGTAACATTAACTTTTTTCACTTAATTTCAATATTTTGAACAAAATGAGGATTCTTAAGCAAATACTTAATGAACTGGAATAATTTCCCGCCACTGGCAAATTATTTATCACAACAACAATAACATTTTTTCTCATGAATATATTATATTGTCACATAATTATTCGGTTCATTTTTCATTACTCAGAAATTAATGAATGACATTAAAAAGAGCGGGACATGTCTCCATTAGACTTTCCCATTAACCAAACATCATGTTTCAAAGACAAATAACGATTTTAGCACTAAAATGTTACTTACCGAATATTTATTCACATAAATATCCTTATGCTCAACCGAATAATCCCAAATTTCACACATTTACGTTTTTACCGTCATGAAATTGACAAATATTAACACCACTCACTCCATAGACTACAATATGTTTTACTATTATGTGAAAAGGTATACAAAGAATGGAGTCTTTTTCTATTGGCTGGTTAAAACCACGTGACCAAGCTCAGATACAAACCATTGGTTGTTTACAAATATTGGATTGACGTCACTAGTCAAATGAGATTCCATTATATTCTTTAAAATTTTATATAGTTTTAGTCTTGTATTAATTGTCATTTAAATTAATTGAAAGTAATTTATATTTAAGTTTTCTTTCAACAAAATATATATAAACTTACGTCACAACTTACCCATTCCGTGAGTCGGCCATTCTCGACAATATGGCGGTTTGTTTACACCGGCATGATAAGGCGGGAAGTACCTTAAGAGAGCATGACCGCCAAAACTAATGAATAATAACTTAAAAATGAATGCTTCGTTTCAAAAAATACCTTTATTAAAAGATTTATTATAATTATCAATTGTTAATTACGTTATCGCAGAAAACACGACACATTAGGCGATATCACTATTTTTCACTCACTGGCGCCATCTAGTAACCTTTAAAGATAATCCTCTAATGGCGGCAAAAGCAAAGTATGAAAGTCTTATATTATTATTAGTTAAAAAAGTAATAGGGACAGATATTAACGTAACAAAAAGTAGAGTAATGAATACGAAAAGGAAGCAAAAGTACAATAAAAATATAAAAACAAAAAGAAATGAAAATGTTTGTGACAATGTACAAACATTACAAAAGAAAAATTAATTAAAAAATATTGAGTCTGCATTGTAATTCAGGAAGAAGTTTAACAAAACTGAATTTCATAAAATATTATATTTTTTTAAGTCATTAATAATTACGCTTGATAAAGTAATAATTCAGAGGTCCACTCAGTCTTAGCTTTAACAGACAACAATATTTTATAGTCAACAATAACATGGCATGACATAAGGTTTAAAATTTAGATATCTTGATATTTCTATTCTTTTTGTACAAATCGTAAGTTCCTAATCTTTTAATTTTTTTACCATATAAGTATTCATTCTTAAAACTATGAACATTATTTGACTGCGCAACAAATTTTATTTCTTTAGGTATAACATTGACTTTGAAATTCGATGTATAGCCGCTGTTGGATATTGTTGCAGTAGGTATGAAAGGCAATACTTTCGGCTTTTTAATAACACCTTTTTGTTTTTTTTCCTCTAGGATATCATTGTCATTTATATAAATGCTTTCTTCTAGATAATTTGAAGGCTTATTTCTCCGTTTTCTTGTTTCTTCTACTACAAATTCTGTGGTAGATATAACTTTATGTTTCGTATTATTATTTTTGTTTTTATTGGGTTTGTCATCTAATTGAGTCAAAATTGAAGGTGGTAATCGAGATATATGAATATGATCAAATGAGTTTTCCTTACGGACCTGAAAATAAAATATAAAAATAACAATATTTTGTATATGGCAGTGTTATATTACAAAATGTAACTTAATTTGTGTTCTTATGAATAATGGCTACACCTGTCAATAAGTAAGTGTAAGAATACCACACAAAAAGTTTACTGAAATATCTGTTAGCTATGTAACTATAAGGCATCTTTTTAAGTAAAAAAATCTACGGATAAAAATTATTCATAGTGTAAATTACCTTAAGAGCTTTGTTTGCATCAATATCATCTTCTCTATTTTTCCTTTTTTTATATTTATCGGTATTTGATTTAGTTTTAACTGTAAAAGTAAAATAATATAGATTAGTTATGATGTAACATTATACACTTATTTAAAAACATTTAAATGTAATACCTGAGTCTGTATCATCTTCATATTTTTTAACGTCATGTTGGAGGTCTTTAGCATTTGATACATTGCATTTATTGTCAATTTTCAAGTCTGTTTAAAAAATTAGATTATTAGGTAAGTTATGTATTAAATATATATATATCAATTTGCCTGAAATTATGAGATTTGATTGATTACCTGCCGATATTCTTTGAGTGACTTTTTTCTTAGAGTCAGACATTTGTGATGCAATTAACTTTTTAGCTGACATATCAAACACAATATCCTGTGCAGCTTCATTTTCTATGTCCTCATTGACAATTAATACATCTAAAAGGACAATATATGTAAAAATAAGTATACATGATTGTAAAAAATCAATATCTACTGTACTGCACCATCACATTGATTTGTTATGTGGCAAGAACTTAAATTCATTTTTTAACTTAAAGTAAAAATTAAACAAAAATATAGAACTTGTAACAGAATTTAGTAATAGGATAAGAAGAAAGGTATCCTGGTTTAAATAAAGTAATAGAAGTGTACTCCAGTATATTTTGAAGTTGAACACATGTGGAAATATAAATATAAAGGCGTTATTTTAGTACCTTTGTCACTATTATCTTATTCTAGGAAACAATAACTTGTAATTAAAATGTATCAAAAGTGGCAAAGGAAAAACCAAATCAAATGATCTTCAATAAAAGTAAACACAAGAAGAGATGATAGGTTAGAAACCATACTAAACAATAAGGGATAAATTTATCTTCACATCATATGATTCTATATTAGTAGAAAAAACAAAGAAAAGCGAGAATTATGTCAGGCTTTTATTTGATATTTTACCACCAATTATCCAGTGTTATAATAGGTTTTTTACTATTACCTATGAAGTTGCCATTCTTTAGTACTGGTCATTTCAAACAAAAAAAGTATTGATTGGCGGTGAATTCTAAATTTAAATATACAGCATGTTGCTACTAATGCGACCATAAATCAATACACATTTAGAGGATAACTTATTAAAATTGTATTAATCATTTATATTCCTTAAACATCAATATTTACCGAGTTATTGAATTTTCCAAAACAAACAATTTTAGTACACCTTTACCTATAAAACTGTAACATAAAGTTAATTTGTAAAGGTCACAACGCCTATGAATGGGTTGAATGAATTTGAAAGGGATAAAACATACTGTTAGAAGGAGAGATTTGTAATGCGACGCCGCGGCAACGAATGAAAAAGTGTCTAAATGAATGAATCAGTTGATGCTCTTTTAAAAATCAGTCAGTTGTAGTGTATATAGGTTGTTACAAATTTTGTTTCTTTTTTATTTAATTAGTTAGTTTGAAAAATATTTTTTTTAATTATGGATTTTTTAATGTTTTATATTTTTTTATGCTTATTGGCAGGTAGCTTTAGACGTATGTTCATTTATTGTTGCGGTTGTAACGACACGTTGCATAATAAAAACATTAATTGTTTTTAGATTGATTAGATTTTTTTTTTAATGTGAAAAGTTGCCAAGCGAGCAGGAGGCTCACCTGATGTTAAGTGAATACCGCCGCCCATGGACATCTGCTACACCCGAGGTTTGCAGATGCGTTGGACAACCTTTTGAAAATCGGGTTTCGGCCACCTCTCTCACCAGACGATACACGAAAGTTTTATAAAATTTGGTTGTGCTTTGTATTTTCATTACATTTGAACATTTATCGTCATAATGAATACGTTAAAAATTCGTGAATTATGGAATAAGAGTTCCGTCGTGGCATCAACGCAGCACAAACGGGACGTAAGAACACAGAGAACACGGTTTACGGAGAGAATTTTACAAAGGAACGCACAACCTGTTGTTGGTTTGCCCGGTTCCGTATTGGAAATGTTGTGGTGAAAAATGGACCTTGTGATCGTCCAGACACTTTAAGTCTACAATAATGAATAAAAGGCGATCGTGGAAGCTGATGAAACTTAATGTACAGCCGAGCCAGCAGCAGTTTTTTATGTTAGCATCCAAGCAATATTGGTCCATTTGCAAAAAATTGACAAGATAAAAAAGCTTGATAGATGGGTACCCCACGAACTTATCGATCGTCAGCGCAACGTATGAGTCAAGAGCTGCTTCGTGCTGCTCAACAGGCACAGAAATTAAGGAAGTTTGAACCGAATTGTTACGTGCGATAAAAATGGATTATGATCGACAGTCGATAGCGCTTAGCAAGTTGGTTAGGTTTTGGTTCAGCACCAGAGCAATGCCCTAAACGACAACAGACTCCTAGAAAGGTGATTGTCACTGTTTGGTGGTTTATTTACGACATGGCATGAGCATTAATGCAGACTGAACTGTGAAGAACTGAAGACAATGATGGAAAAGCTCGTATATTGCTTTGGTCAATCGATCGCCACTGTTGCTCCTTCACGACCCCTTACTGCCTAACAGACAGTCTTCAAGCTTCAACCACAACTGTTGTAGAGTTGTGGTTGGAAGCTCTAATCCGCCATACTCACCAGACCTTGCGCCTAACGATTATTACTTTGTCCAAAATTTGGAAAACTTTAGCGGAAAAAAAAATCATTTCTCGACGAGGCATTACAAAATGCTTTTGACGAGTTTGTTGCCTCCCGTCCAAACGATTTTTACAAGAGCATCAATAAACTACCATTGTGTTCGCAAAGATGCATCAATAGCATGGTTCATTTCTTTGAATAACAGAAATAAAAAAAGGTAAATTTACCTGTAGTATAATTTTCTTCAGACTTTTGCGTTAATTTAAGTTTCTTTTTTTTATTGATCATGGAATCATTTGTGGTTATAGTACCGGATGTGTCATCTGTAAAATAAGAGGAACCTCTGTATATTTGATGTTTATGTAATAGTATTGTTAAAATTTCTTAAAATAGCAAATGGTGCAGTGATATTAGGGTTTTCTATATTCTTTGTCAATCTACAATTTTTAGATTAGTTTTCTAAAGCTGTAGTACAATTTATATTTCAAAAACGTTATTAGAAAGGCAGTTATTGCTAATGGTAAATTAACCAAGCTTTGAATTTCAGCTAGGGTGCACTTTTAAAATTTGAAAACTTTCAAACCACCAACACATTATGGATTTTAATTATTAACCTTGTTCTAAAATGTTTAAGATTAGCTATCTCTCCTGTTAATACAACTGCCTTATTAATGACGATTTATAAGGCAGTCGTACAGTTCGCGCACTGCTTAATACATCATCATTCTCACGCCTTTATTCCACATATTTGGAGTTTACGAAATATGTGAATATTTCGTAAGTGGTACTGGTTAGGTCTTTACTTCTATCATGTGAACTTAACATTAACGGGGAGATAAGAATACTTGTCTCAAGTAAAATCAAACTTACAATCCCCAGCACCAAAACTATTAAGCACTACCAAGTCATCATGAGATGAGTTACAAAACTCAGGTTATATAGGTATGTAGAAAATAGTCTCTACCACCAGGGTGACACTGAAAGTTTTTAGAAGTGAAGCGAAGGCAGGTGGCGAGATAATGGGTCCATCCACCAAATAGTCCCGCAATGGGGCCTTATAAACTTCGAGGTATTTTCTTTGAAGTAAGACTTTGAAGAAGCAATGAGTGCATTTGAAAATGCTGTAGACGAGGAAAGAATGCACAGATACCACTTCAAACAACAATAAATGTATTGGCAACTTTCCACAGTGAGCTATTTTATGGTTTTCTGAGATCTTTCAGTGTGACCTAGGTATTATTTCATTTTCGCCAGATTAAATTGATATTAAGGAAACCATAATTATATGAAATATATTACAAACCTAAAGCAACATCAAATGAAGACATTGTAGAAGACCTTTTACGTTTCTTTGTAATTTTGTTACTTGTATTATTGTCTGAAATAAAAAAAATATGACAGCAATTTAAATGTTATACTCATAATGACCTAATTAGCGAGTAATAATCAAATTTAACATGTAACTTGTTCTAAATATACTGTGATCTAAGACAAAAAAATTAAAGAAAAATAATAAGAAGAATTGTTAAGTTTGATTCTATTGAATCAATAAAAAAGAAAACTATATTAGTGACAGTAACAGAAAAACATTAAAACCGGCTAAGTGCGAGTCGGACTCACGCACGACGGGTTCCGTACCGTTATCTTTAAAAATAGCAAAAAAAAAAAACGGCAAAGACCGACAGACAGCGGTGATTTCGTAAAAGGGTCTCCCGTTTTGGGTTTACCTTTGGGCATGGAACCCTAAAAACAGAATAAAAAATATTTAAGTAGGTCTTACATAAAACAGACATGACTTTTTTGTCTTTTTAATAGATAATGGCAATCTTTCTTGCGCGAATCAGACTCGCACTTGCCCAGTTTTTTTTTAGTATTTGTTGTTATAGCGGCAACAGAAATACATTATCCGTGAAAATTTCAACTGCCAATCAAGGTTCATAATATACAGCCTGGTGACAGACAGTGAAGTCTTAGTAATAGGGTACCATTTTGCCCTTTGGGTACAGAACCCTAAAAAGGACCCTTTCTATTACCTTGATTTGTTGTAATCTCATCTGCTGCCTCAATTGTTTTAATATTGTTGATTTCCGCCTCTGTGGTGAAAAAAAAAAAGTCTCTGTATATTTATATTTTGATAACAGGTTTAAAGTTTAAGTAATTTACTTTAAATATATTACCTGTTTCAAAATTCTTTGCCTGAGATTTTTTCTTTTTTTCGCTCTTTTCTTTATCCATACATTCAAATGACATTTTGTCAATTAAATTTATAGTTTCTGCATTCTCGACTTCAGATATAGTAAATGATTCTGAAAGTTTCTTCCTTTTTTTCTTTTCACTGTTTGGAGTTTTAGTAATTGATGTATTAATTTCTAGTTTAGGATGTTCAATCTCAGAAATATTTGATTTTGACAATCTTTTCATTTTCTTTTTCTCACTATCTGGTGTTTTGCTGACTAATTTGCTATTGTTGCTTTGGACTATATTCTCAGTAGAAAAGAAGACATCTAAATTCGAAACATTGAATGAATCTGATGTATCTTTCCTTTTAACGTCACATTTAGTTTTTTTATGCAAAGAAGTATCAGAAAAGCTTTCAATATGTGACACATTTTTTTCACTTTGAGGTGTCCTCAGCAAGGATTTGGCTGTCAATGATTCAGTAGCAATGTCTGAAACAATAATTTAAGTAAATTATTTCTTGTTTTACTTACTAATTATTGTTATTAATATTTGCTTATATATTATTTAGATTGCTCTTAAGTATCTAAAACACGGATACCGATTAAGCCACCCCATATTGTGTAGGTTACACAAAGGTTAATATTAGAAACCTTTTAAAAATCACTTGCTGGACCCAAACATTTTCACTATAAAATATTATTTGCCACTCTATTGTGAAACTGGCTGATAGACTTTAATTAAGGTATGCAGAAAGGTCCAAGTTATTGGCTGATTCAAACTTTATGACTTAGAATAAGATTAACTGTATCAGCGGGAAGTAGAGGGACGAAATGGGGAGCATCGCGCCGCGCGCCACCCTCACTCTAAATGCAGTCGACCCGTGCGTGTCGGTTCTTAGTGTGAGTTACGTCTGTACACCGCATACACGCAGACTTTCCTTTCCAAATAGTTGGTAGTTAGCTTTTGAGAAGTCATAAAGATTGAATTGGTGTATATATACATGAGCTAATCTTGGGGATGTTCCTGGAGCTCTATGTTCAGTTGTGGACTTAAAGATAAATGTTGAAGATAACGGTAAACTTAATAAGATAATTTCATATTACCTATCTCATCAGCATCAATTGTCTTGTTATTTTTTTTTATTCTTTCATTGCTATTCTCTTTTCTGTATGAAATTTCAAGAGGTTCATTAGATTCGCTGGTATCATCTGAAAAATGAAACATTAATTATATAAAACAGCTATGTAAATTGTGTTGAATGATAGGCATTGAAATAGAATAATTATAGGATTTAAATATGTTAAAAAGGTTTTTCTAAGAATTGTATACAGGGTTTTTGGAAACAAAAACAAACTTTTTTTGTATTTTTTCATTCATTGTCAAATTAAAAAAAACCTCTATTTTTCAATAAGCAAAAATAATACCTCATATAATGATTCTTATGGTGATAGCATTTTCTTTGAATTTAATGTTATATTGCAAAATAAAATATATATATGATTTATTTATAATCAATGGATATGAACCTGTTGACTGCATAACAGGATCTGGATAAACAAACATTGGATAAAACTTTTACAATTATTAACCTTTTGTCAATATTATTTGCTTTTATTTATGTTATAACACATTGTATATTTTATAAAAATAAGTAAAATATCAGGTGAATTATATGCATAGTTCCAGAATCACCAAGTAGTTGATAGCTTGGAATCTTTTTTTCTTTTCAGTAAATAATCATGAAATAAAGAGTATTTTCGAAAAACAAAGATATTATTGAACATTATATTAGACAAAGACAAATTAATCAATTATTTAAGTAACCACATGTTATATCTCTTAACTGCTCATTACATTTTAACTTATAAGTAGAAGATAATTTTTTTTTTAAGGATTATTTAAAAGTAAAATTGTACATTACATACCACTTCTCTGTGATGCATTGTTCGTAATTTTTTCATACACTTTTTCTTCATACAGTGATGACTCTGAATGATTGCCAATTGTGTCCACAAAAAATGGTGCATCGGCATTTTTGGTTTTAATAAGATCTGAAAAAAAAAAAAAATGTTTTTGTTGACATGATTGCTTATGTAAATTTTGTAAGATTAAGATTTTTGCACTGTATTTGTTTAAATTATATTATTTATAAATTATATCTGTATACATAAATAAGCCACATCCTTATTCACCTTACATTAACAAGCAAGTGTATACATACAGCGTGTCGTTAAAACCGCGACAATAAATGAATATAATTAAAAAGAAACAAAATTTATAGCATCCTATACAACTACAACTGACTGCTTCATACATTCAGAGACTTTTTCATTCGTTGCCACAACGTCGCATTACAAGTCCCTCTAACAGTATGTTTTATCTCTTTTAAAGGAAAGGAAGACAGTGAGGAGGAATATAAAAGCATATTAAATAAAAACTCCGACGTAAAAAAGGAATTAGCAGTCCTACATGCAGAGTACTTGGACGCTGTTAGCCAACGGGATGAGCTTCAATTAACATTATAAAATCTTGATCAGTGTAACCAAACCCATTCACAAGCTTTGGACCGCATCAGGCAGCTTGAACAGGAGCTGTGTGATGCTCAAAAATTAAAGCATCAAGTTAATTTAAACAGACATGATCAAATTAATAAAACTCAAAGTTTGCAAGAGGAGCTCTTGGCTAGTAGCCCCAGTACTGTGTGTTTGGAAGGAGGATTTATAGATCTCACAGCAGATGACTCATTTGCTAATGTTAATAATAAGTGTGGTGTAGGAGCTCTCAGCCAAAATAAAATTAAGAAATATATAAAAATCTGTAAGTATATTAGTAAAGTAACGGCACTTAAAAAGAAATTAAAGTTTTAATTTTTTTGCAAATGAGCACAGGAAATATAGTAATAAACTATCATACTATAAAAATAAAGTAATTAACTGTGAAGAAATGTATAAATTAGACACAGTAAAACTGCATAATGATATCCTTAATTTAGAGGAATCATTACTTAATATGACAAAAAAATATGAATGTGCTCAAAAAGAAATCCAAGAGCATATTGTAGCTCTAAATGAGTTGGTTAAAGGGACTAAAGAAAATGCAGACAAATTTGACTCCTTAGTAAACAATCATTTAAGTAGCTGTGTCTGCTCGACTCAACAGTCCTCACCTAAAGTAAATTCAAAAAATATTAATCCTTCGAGTAGCAATAGTACAAATAGTTATATGCAGGATTTATGTAACAATAATCAATCCTTAATTCTTCCAAATACTGTTATTTTTAGTGATGGTATTGGGAAAGGTATGGCCACTCTCCTCAATAATCATTAATTAGGGAGTGTAATCACCAATAATTGCCTGCCAGGAGCTCCTTTACACCACTTAATAAATGCTGCTATGAAGGCAAAAGTAAATATGGAAACAACAATTATAATGTTTGGAAATAGCACACACTTAAAAAAACAAGATATAGTTCATAGTTTCTCCTTACTGTCCACCCTAAAAGTAAAAAAAATAATTTGGTGTACGTTCCCTTACATTAACTCATCATCAGGGAAAATTAATGATAATATATATATAAAATCAATTATTGCATCACCTGACATGCCGTCATAATGACATATTTAATTTATTTGACATGAATAAATTTATTAATCTTTTAATTTTGACTCAAGATACAGTGTATCTGCCAAATAAATATAAGCACAAGATAGCTATGTTATTAGCATATAATATAAATAATGACAATCCAGTATTAAATAGACTGTCTATTAATACTGAAGCTCATACTTTTTTAGTAATTTAAGGCAGACAAAAGAGAAACCAGATGTTAAAACTGTTAGCTTGTTATATCAAAATATAAACCTCTGTTTCTCTGGCAAGATCCTTGACGTAGAACTTCTAATTGATAAGTATAATGTAGATATCTTGTGCTTTACTGAGACATGGCTCAATGATATGTCATTTAGTATAAAAAATTATTCAGTAGCCAGTAAATTTAACAGAGTATCTGCTATGGGAGGGGGGTGTCTCATCCTACATAGAAATACTTTGAAATTAAAAGAAAGAACTGATATTGTTGCATACTCTGTTGAACGACTATGTGAGATTGCATGTGCAGAGACAGAAGATTATTTATTAATGTGTGTTTATAGACCACCCTCATCTGATCTTATAAATTTTTTATTAATTATTGAAGACATCGTGATTAAAATATTTAAAATAAAAAAGCATATAGTCATTTGCGGTGATTTTAACATTGATTTACTGACAGATTCTCCAGATAAAGTGAGATTTCTGTCACTTCTTAAAACATTTAATCTTTACTGTGTCTTCGATGAACCAACAAGAGTAACCCCATCCTGTGCCTCTTGTATAGATAATATTATAGTAAATTGTAAAATCGTAAACCAAGAAATATTGAGTGGTGTTAGATCTGACCATAAAGCCCTTAAAATAGACATCTATGTTAATAACAAAAATAATGTTATTATAAATGAGTGTAGGCTTATAAATAAATTCAGAATTAAACAGTTTAGAGATAGCGTCAAACACAAGCTACCCTTATTAACACACAATTTCAATGCCTTGTTTACTATGATTACTACAGAATTTAATAAAATTATGCCGAAAAGAAAAACTATAACTTTAGGCAATAAACTTTGCTTTAGTGAGTGGGCAACTAAGGGAATTAGAAAGAGCAGGGATAAACTATATGATCTATATGGTATTATGTCATTATCTTGTAACGTTGCATCTAAATGCACCCTTCCATTTTTTAATAATATTTGTAAACAAACAAATTATATCCGTTCGCGTAGCCTGCACGCCATACCGGTGACCGGCCGAAATTCGGTGACGCGAACGCTTCCCCGTTTGGGCCAATCGTACGAGACTACGTTTCGCACGTCAGACAGAGCGGTCACTGTGCTGTGTGCTACTGATAAGTAACGACCGACTATTTTTTTAAAAAGTCAAAACGGTTAAATCCAATTTGATCCCGCTGGGGTGAGTTGTCATTACTATATTGTAACTGTGTATTACTATATTGTAACTGTTCTGCTTTTTATTTTTTTTTCTTGCTGGTGCTGCTTAGCGTAAGAGTGTAGCTTTCATAAAAGGGGACACTGAGCTCGAGTAGGGTTTGTCCAGCGCCGTTTTAAGCCGCCCTAATGCTTGCCTTCGTCTGGCTTCCAGGATCTCCCTACCCTAATTATTAGCCGAGCGCTGCCGCCCGGATTAATACGGCCGAGCTACCCGATCTACGGAGCGCGAGACCCCAGATACCGACGGCTTCGAAAAATCGGCGTAGAACAATTCCTGGACGTCTCACCCTACGTCAGGCCAGTGAACCACCACTACACTAAGCTGTTGTGTGCGGAAGTATGACAAATAAAGCTATAAAAGAAATAACACTGAATCCTTGAACCCACCTACCCTACCTTAGAATTTAGCCGATAGGCCTCAATCTTTTGATCCTAAGTTCCATGAATATGTTAGGAATTATTCAAAAAATTTTAAAAGGGTCTGTACTTTAGCTAAAGCAGACTATTTGAGTAATAAAATTAAATTGTCTTCAAACAAAGTTAAAAGTACATGGAAAGTATTATTAAAAGTATTTATTACAATAAGGAAACTGGCAAAAATAATGGAAAAAAGGCAGATTTTACATTAAAAGTTAATGGCAAAGTTTTAAAAGAAAAATATAAAGTAGCAAATGAGTTTCTTAATGACTTCACAAATATACCTTGTGAAACTACTAGACATTTGCAACACTGTCCCACAGAGGCAGTAACATATCTCGATAAATATGTTAATATTTCTGTTCCAGATTTTAAATTTTGTCATATAGGCCCGAATGATATTATTAAAACATTTGAAAATCTAAATAAAAAGAAAACAGAAGACTTAGGGCGCTTATCAATATGGGCAATTGATCTTATAATCTATGACATTGCTTGCATATTAGCCCAAATATTTAATACATGTTTAGACAGTAGCAAATTCCCAAAGTTAATGAAATATAGCAAAGTTGTGCCAGTATATAAATCCGGTTCGAGAGATGATGCCTCTAATTACCGTCCTATCTCTATGTTGCCGGCCTTAAGCAAAGTGTTTGAGAAAATAATGCTGGTTCAAATGATAGTACATTTTAACAAATATAAAATTTTAAACCAGCACCAATTTGGATTTACTAAAGGTAGATCTACAACTGATGCAGGGATAGAATTAGTTTCATATATCCTGCAGTCCTGGGAAAGCTTTCATGACACCATTGGTGTGTTCTGTGACCTTTCCAAGGCATTTGACTGTGTAGATCATACAATTCTAATCAGGAAATTGGAATATTATGGTATTCGCAATTGTGCCATTGACTTTGTTTCCTCATATCTTACTGACAGGGAACAAAAAGTAATCATAAATGGTATATTGTCAAAGGGGTCAAAAGTAAAAATGGGCTTCCTCAAGGATCGATCCTGGGCCCTTTTCTGTTTTTAGTTTATATTAATGATTTGCCATATATAGTGGAAAAAAGGTCTCAAATTGTTTTGTTTGCGGATGACACTTCATTATTGTTTAAAGTTAAAAGGAAAGATGATGCACTGGAACAACCAAATGAAATACTAGATGTTGTGTCTGGCTGGTTTGCTACCAATAACTTACTTTTGAACTCCAATAAAACAAAATGTATTAGATTTACTCTTTCAAAGATGTGTCACCAATCAGGAATCTCTATTGATGAGAAAATCCTACCCCTTGAGGATTCAACAACATTTCTTGGAATAAGCGTTGACTCCAAGTTGCAATGGGGATTACATGTAGATAAGTTAGCTAAGAAATTGAGCGCTGCCGTCTTTGCCATACGCAAAATGAGGCAGCTAACTAACGAGGAAACTGCAAAATTAGTTTATTATGCTTATTTTCACAGCATAATGTCCTATGGTGTCTTACTTTGGGGTTCCGCATCCGGTCTAGACACAATGTTTGTATTACAAAAGCACGGGCCGTCTATGGCTTGGGCCCACGTGAGTCGCTACGACATACATTTAAGCAAATAAACGTTTTGACGCTCCCGTCGCTTTACATACTTGAGAACATCATGTATGTACGTAATAATATCCACCTATTTACGAAAAAACAATCCACATCGCGTCGGGGCCGTGGTGACACTCTGGAAGTACCGAGGTTTAGATTGGCTAAAACCAGAAAGTCGTTTCTTGGAAGATGCATCAACTTTTATAATAAAATAGGTGACATCCACAAACAACTAAGTATAAACAATTTCAAACAATTTGTAAAAGCTACCTTAATGGCAAGAGCTTATTATAATATCCAAGAATACATAGAGGACAAGGATGTTTGGAAATGACTCTTGCTCTGCACTTGCAAGACCCCTGGCTGCTGCTGATTTTATACCCAAATAAGTGTGTATAATTGCATTAAAAAAAAATATATATAACAAAAAGAACAAGACCGCAGAGTTTCTTGCCGGTTCTTTTCTGTGCAGGTCTAGTTTAGTGAACCGGTGGTAGATTTTTGTTGACGTTCAATAAGAGCTTAAGTTAGGCCTATATTGAATAAATATACTTTGACTTTGACTTGACTTTGTAAATTCATATGCTTTGTGACTGTTACAAATGAACTTTACGTTACAGTTTTATACGTTAGGTGTTCTAAAAAATGTTTGTTTTTTAAAATTTAATAACTGGATAAATATTTAAGTTTAAAGAATATAAATGCTTAATACAATTTTAAAAAGTTATCCTCTATATGTGTGTTCATTTATTGTCGCGGTTGTAACGACACGCTGTATATGTGTTTATCAATAAAATCGTGCGAACATTTTAATCTTACCTTTTTTTGCACGAATGTCTGTTTTTGCTTCAGATTTCTTCAAAGGAATGAAATTTTCTTTTTCTTTTTTGATGGAGTTTTTCGTGTTTTCTTTATTTAAATCTGAACTATTTATACTATCTTCAGAGAAAAGTAACTTTAAATCAATAGAATCAGATGAATCATCTTGATTAAGATTTTCAGTTGTGTATATTTTATCAGGCTTTCTTTTTTCACAATCTCTTTTCGATCTTTTATTTCCTTGAGTAAGGTTAAGTTGGTCTATAAGTAATGGTTTATTTGTATTTTTTTTTGATTTCCTGTCTAAGTTTAGTGAAAGATCTGCAAACTTCGAATTCTTTGCATTATTTTTATTGATACATGGTTTGTCTTCATTTCCAAGTAATTTTTGTTTATATTCATTAGACTCAATTAAGGAATTGGTGAGTGGCCTATTTTCACAATTTCTTTTACTCTCGTCATTTAAATTTGTGGATGCATTATTTAAAGTACTATTATTCTCAGAGTTAAAAGTGTTTTCCTTTTGTGATGACCTATTATTTAGGGTATTAAACGGTTTACTTTGTGTTAAATTCAGATTATTTATAATGGATACATTTGAATTTGATTTGGTGTTTGATTTTTTCTCTAAATTTAGCGAATGATTAACAGTCTTAGTCCTCAAATCATTGAGTACATTATCATAATTTCGAGCAATGTTTTCATCTTCCGTATTTAAAGAAGAACTGTCATCATTATCAGAATCATCTAATGGGTCTTGGGTTTTTTGTGAACTTGAAGATGTATTTTTATTACTTGGAGTATTTTTTTGTCTTTCCACATCTATAAATCCCACAGAGATGTTTGGTTCTCTTATTGGAGTGCTAACTTCATTTTGATATAATGTTAAAGGATCTCTTATATTTGGTGCTATTTCACTAATAGAAATTTCTTTTTCTTTTAACAAAGTTTCATTATAAGTGGATTCGTTTGAATCTACATCTTTCTTTTTATCTGAATCTTCCATGTTAGATTTATTAATGCTTTCAGTTGTTGTTGAATTTAACCTCATTCTTTTATTTTTTTTCGAACCCATAATCTCATCGTCAGATTTTGAAGAATCTAAATTTTCACATGAATTCTGTCTAGTTTTAGCCAATTTTAAACTATGATTATTTTTGGAAGTATTTAACTTGTGTCGTGCTTCAAACATCTCCCTAGATGCTTGCTTTTGTTCTTTTAATTTTCTTGCATTATATTTTTTCTTTGATTCTGGATTCATTTTTAACTCTTTGTCACTCATTGATAAATCATCACCCGAACCACTAAGCAACTCATTGTCTTCATCATCAGAAGTAACCAAGAATGAATCCTTTTCATAATCTGAATCATTAGATAGTTCATCTTCAGTTGTCAATGTTTCACCCTTTTCTACAATTTCATTATCTTTTTCGTATTGCCTCTCCTCTTCATCTTGGCTGTCTCCAGATTCATATTTATCACTCACTTCTTCAGCTTCATTGTCTAATAAACTAAAATTTTTATTTGTTTCTAATTCCTGTTCAGAGTCTGAGTCTGATTCTGAAGATTGTTCAGGTTTATTTGCTATTGCTGACATATTTTTTTTTGAAGTAATGATGCCTTTATTTATTGAAGCGTTATTTTCAAATATCTTATTAGATTTTTCTTTGCCATGGTCACCTGAATCAGATTTTTGTTGAAGAGGTGTACTAGTTAAATAATTTAGCGAAACTCTTTTGCGTTTTTCATTTTCTTGAGTCACATTTAAAGTGTTAATTGATTGTGATAATTCTTCGTTTTTGAGAATTTTAGGCGATTTGTTTTTAGAATCAGATAAATATTTTAATTGCGAAAGTATAAGGGTACTCTTGTTTTCAGCATTACTTTTTTCTATATTTTGAGATGTTGAAAGACCATTAGAAAGAAATCTGTTAGAAGTTTGCATTGTCAAGTTTGTCTCAAGTGAGTTGGTTAATAATATTTTTTCTTGTTTTTGCAATTCATTAGTTGGCACATTATTTGGTAGGCTTTCCGGTAAAGTTTCATCAACATCCATTGGCTCACATGTGACATTTGCATCAACAATCTTACATTGACTTTTGTTTTTGTTAAAAGATGGTGATAAAGTGTAATCAGGTGATTCATTACCCTTTTTTTCTATTTGATCTACAACTGGAACACATTGATCTTCAGTAATATCATTTTTAGACATTTGCATCGGATTGGAGTCAGAATCTTCCATTAGAATTGTTGTTTGGATGATGGTATTGGGCTCTTTTTGAAACAATTTTGTCATTTCACTTTCATTGCGTGATTGTTTAGGTGTGAAATCTTTATTTTTCTTTTTACCGGAAGATGCAATTTTATTTTGTGAACTTTTTTCATTGTCATTGTAATCAACATTATGTGGACTATCACCAGAACCAGATATAGAAGGTTTCTTCTTTATATTACCTAATTTATCTAGATGCCTTTTTTTAGTTATCTCAGTATCACTGTAAAAATCGTCATGAACTGATGTAGTACTGGTTATAGTAGTCCAAGACTTAGTTCTATTCCTCTTGGGTTTTATTATTTTCATATCTTGGGCCTCAGACAGACTTTTGTTCATATGGGAAGATTTTTTTTTAGGTTTATTTTCTATATTGTTAATAAGGTTTGAGCTGGAGACTGAAAGTCTGTCTTTATTGGAATTAGATTTCTCTGCGTCATTTACATCATCCATATTTGCATCTGTTAATTTAACGGGCTCATCAGTTTTACTTTTGTTAAGGTCAGAATTGTTTAATAAATCATTATTACTTTCAAAACTACTATTTTTATTCTCATCTAGTGCTGATGAATTGCTCAATCTTGATTTCTTGTTTAAAAGTCGAGGGCTTTGACGCAGAGAGGTTGGTGTCGTGCTTTCATTGTCTAAGGTTTTTGATTCATTCGAGATTGACTTAGCGGCATTTTCTGCTTCTTCTTTGATAACTTCAGGAATTTGAGTCCTATTTACTGCAGAATCTACTGAAAATTTATAAATAAAATTTTATTACTTTATTGCTATAAATAGACAAGTGTATTAAAAATCCCGTAAATGATGCATAAGGATAATAGAAATAGTCATAAACATTCAACAAGCAAAAAAAAAGTAAAGTAACAGCCTATACATGTCCCACGGCTGGGCAAAGGCTGCCTCTATACAGAGGGTATCAGGGCATAGTCCACCACGCGGCCCCACTGCGGATTGGCGGACTTCACATATCTTCGAAATATTTTTTTTTGTTATTTAGAAAATATGCAGGTTTCCTCACGATGTTTCCTTCACCGCGGAGCACGTGATAAGTCAGCACTTAAAGTTAAAAACTTCATTGGTGCCGGCACCGGGGATCGTACTCAGGTTGCTCGAGTATATTGAATTAAAGGCCCGAAAAGAGCGCCCGGACACTGAGCTATCACGGCAAATCAACAAGCAAAGTTAAATCTAATAGTTCCATTGTATAGTTAGTAGAGAACTAAATTCTTTTCATGTTCCAAAAAGCTTAGGAAAAGACTTAGCAGCAAAGTGCAAAAACTCATAAATTTTGTAGTGATAGGAAGAACAATTGAAGAATGTTGCTACTAATGAAATTGTGCCCATAATCGAAACTCAGCAAAAGGGTTTGATAAAGAATAATTTCTTCAAATGGTGGGCTTTAAACAAAAATGGTTTAAGGTTATCTAGAAAAAATTTGTTACATCTGGTTGCACTAGCTCTGTTTATTTAGAATGAATATTTTTCAAGAATGTCAGGAAAAAAGTAAATGATATAGGTTGTATGGTCCAACATTAATAATTTCTCTTTAATTATGTTTGGACTTTATGCATGTAAGGAGTAAAGGTGAGCTTATATTATATTTTTTGTGAAGTTACACATCAAATGCCAGCCATTGTTGAATAATGAAAAATTAAATATTTTTTTACATATAAATTATAGATATGATTGTAATTGGGAATTGTAATTGGGGTTAATAGTAGTGTATTTAGTACAAAGACTAAATATAAATAATACCATGCTTTTCAATACTTGATGTAGAGTCTTTTCTGGTTCGTCTAGTTTGCCGAGCAGGAGTCAGGGACATCTCAGAGTCACTTCCTAGAAAAATAGAATTTAATTTATTTTAGACAAATTTTACAATAAAAAATTTACAATACAATTTTCTTAGGAGTAAAAATGTATATTGATTGTAATTTATTAATGTTTATCACTATTTCAGAATCAAAATTAAAAGAAGAAGCAGAAGTTTAATTTACAAATGTTTCTCTCATTAGTATGTATATTATTGTTAGTATTGTATTGTATTATATCAATGGCTAAATTATTCTAAGCAAGTTAATAATGTAGATGTATTGAATACCTTGTTTACAGCACTTTTGGTATTGAAAAGTTAACCTGGCTTAAAGTATTATGCTTATTAAATTAATTATATTATTGAAATAGAAATAATATATGAGCTCTGATTTCTCTTAACCTTTGTGGGATAGTTTGCCCCCCAAAATTTTTTTGTGACAGTTGTTTTGAGTTTTTGTGATACAATGGTTCTAGTTGTTCCATAAATGTGTAGAAATAAAAGTTTATAGCTGTAAGACTTTATATACGACTTTACAGAACAAGTTACTTATGTGTGTATATTGATAGGATTTTGAACTTATTCATTGAAACTAACCAACTTGAGAAGTCCTTCTTGCAGCCCTTTTAGCTCTAGGTGAGTCAACATTTTGTACTGTGTCTGACACAATACTAGTATTAGATTTAATTCTTGCACTTCTTCTTGATGGTGTTATAGGCTTATCTTCCACAGTCTCAGCAATATCCTTTGGAATGTTTTTCTTTGTTGTCTTCTTCAAATTACTCTCTGCTACTGAAATATTGGCAGAAATATTATCCATCTTTAAATATTCATCAAATTTTCAAAGAATATAAAGATCTTTTTGTTATAATAATTTTTTGGTTTTGAATATTACAAGTAAATAAAATAAATTATTCAGGGCACATTTTTACATAACTTTATCTAGTCCCAAACTAAGCAGGCTTGTACTATGGATGCTAGGTAACTGATAAACATACTTAAAAATACTTTTCTTTTGTAAATAAATACATATATAAACTAATATATATAAACACCCAGACACTGAAAAAAGACTATGTTCATCACAGTGTGGTCCCAATAGTGGGGATCGAACCGACACCCTCTAGCGCAGGAGACAGGTTCACTATCTACTACGACAATCGGGTCGTCAAAAAAGTATATTAATTAACAAAACACACATTTAAAATACTTCATTTGTATGATGTCAATTTTCTATGAGGTATAAATTTTTTAAGAAGGAATCTTTTTGTAAATAAATATTATCAGCATTGAAAATTTTTTGAGAAAAAGTACTACACTACACTTTGATAAATATTGATAACTCCAACCGATTTCGTCCATGGCGACCTTTTCAGTTCATAACTGATTTGACGCTGGTGCGCCCCAAAATGGCTTATATACGGCCATTTCTCATGCATAATGAGGGCACGAGAGTACGCCGCATACATAGTTATAGTTCATTGTGGCGGGTGGATGGGACTTTAGGTCATCAATGTCAGCTTTACGCTGATTCTCAAACTCACAGACACGCCTCTTCACAGTTCCAAGTCACTCCGGACTTTGCGCTGCCAAAACCTCCCATTGCGAGTGTTCTGTTGCATCTCATATGTCGCTTCTGAACATCTTTATGTCTGAGGAGATGCACACTATGTTTCGGCTTGCCCTCCTTTAGTTATTTAAAAGATGGGTTTCGCCATTCTTTCCTCCACCATACGTGACACATGACCGCATCACCGAAGTTAGCAACGAATTAAATAGAAATCAATGCCACTGATATTGGCTCATCGCAAAACCTCAGTATTACGCACTTGGTTGAACCGCCTGATCCTCATGATAGTATGAAGACATTTAAGGTGGAACTGATCCAGAGTACTAATGTGGTGGCGATACTCACATAACATTTTTTTATGGGAAAAAGCGGCAAACGAGCAGGAGGCTCACATGATGGTAAGTGATTACCGCCGCCCATGGCACCTGCAACACCAGAAGGCTTCCAAATGCGTTGCCGGCCTTTTAGGAAAGAGTATGCTCTCTTCTTGAAGATTCCCAGGTCTCAACGGTTCGGAAAGACCACCGGCGGCAGCTGGTTCCACAGAGTGGTTGAGCGAGGCAGGAATAGCCTTGAAAATCGCGCTGTTGTGGAACGCTGGACATCGAGGTGGTGTGGATGAAATTTTAGGTTTTGGCGCGATGTCCGATGGTGAAATTCAGCCGCCGGGCTCAATCCAAGCAATTCCTCCGAACACTCCCCGTGATAGATGCGGTAGGAGATGCATAATGATTCAACATCTCTACGCAGAGACAAAGGATCAAGCCGATCGGAAAGACTTTGATCGTCGATAATCCTAGCTGCCCTACGTCGGATGCGGTCAAATGGAAGAAGCTGGTAATATGGGGCTCCCGCCCAGTGGTGGCAACAGTACTCCATGTGGGGCCAAATTTGCGCCTTATAAAGGTTTAGGCGTTGAGCCGACGTGAAGTACTGTCTCGCCTTGCTGAGCACACCGAGCTTCTTTGAGGCCAATTTGGCCTTACTTTCCAATTGACCGCGGAACTGGACATTGTTCGAGATTTCGACGCCAAGTATTCCGATAGATTGGGGGAGTTGGGGTTGAATTGGACTAAGTTGAGTCGACCCCAGTCTGAGACTTTAGCTAATAAAGTCTCGACTTCAGACACAAGCTTGTTCCGGCTCTCATAGACGTATTCCCGAGAAATGTTAGTAGGGCCAGTGTACGAGACATCCACAGTGCTATCATCTGCATAGCATTGAACGTTACTGATTTGCAACATATCATCGATATGCAGAAGAAACAGAGTAGGAGACAGTACGCTGCAAGATCTGTGTGTGAGGTAAACAAGAAAATCACCGGCTGTGCGTCCTTGACGAAAGCTGTACTGGCGGTCGCTAATCAGATGGTGCTCCACTAGGTACCACAGGAGCTGGCAGTTAATAAGGGACTCCATTATCTTAGAGAACAAGGAGGTGATGGCTATAGGCCTGTAGTTGGACGGTTCTTCTTCACTTTGAATTTTATGCATAAAATATAGTTTACCATTTTCATCTATAAGATCCAGTTCAGGTTTTGCTACCTTCCTACCACCTCTTTTCTTTGTTGGAGTGCTTAGTGCCGGTGACTTTCCGTCTTCAGACTGCTCTACAGATATTCTTCTCCGAAGTCTGGTGACTGGAGCTAGCAAAAAATACACAATTAACATGTTTTTTGTATTTCCCATTATAGTACCATATATAAGAGAATTTATTTAAATTTTGTAACATCTTTGTAAACACCCATTGGGTTTACATAATAATTGAAATAAGAGATAATTTGACAACATTGCATAATTATTCAATTTTGTTGTAAAAAAATAGTACATTGCAGAGTAAAATGAATTGATTTTTTTAAGTTACACAAATTTTAAACGAATAAGTGTTGTTAAAGTAAGAATGCATCATACAGCCTTCTCATGAACTCATGGACATCTTTGTGTCTTAACTCATGGCCACTTTTAACTTGGAATTAAACTATGAAAAATAAATATTCAGTTATTATTTCCGACTTAGATATAAACTACAAGACTTTAAATTCAATACTTTATATATTGTGATCACACTATTCTAAAGATTAATTTCATATTTATTTTTTTGAGATCTTTTCAATAGCAATTTAATTTTTCCTAGTTATTACAATAATAATATAATCAGTCTATGAATATAAGCGATTAATCTCTCAATCTCAGTCTCAACAAAGACAGATTAAAATAATTTATGAACTTTTTTGACCAACACCAAAATTTGATTGATACTGAGGGAAACCGAATTTTCGGTCAGTCACTAATTGAATAGTTAGTGCCTTTTAAGGGTGATAGTCCATTTCTTTATCAATATAAGTTTTTTTTAAATGTTTGATCCATAATATGTAAAATACTTTAGCATCAAACTTATTTTTAATTTCTTGACATATTTCGCATTTAAATTTTTTTGATTTATTGCAACTGTTGCAAAACTATTAGCTTTCAATATAAAATTGGAGTATATTAAGAACTGCAGTACAACTTTCCATTAATTGTCAAATTGAGGGGTGAGAGGGGTGCCCAGGCAGGGGGGGGTATTATCCCCAATAAAACGAAAAGTTGTGGAGGAATAAGTGTAAAAAATAAGGGGAACGGGTTCTCCCTTACCAGAAAAAAATTGGTTTATTGATTTATAGGGATTTCGGTATCTATTTTGAGACTGTAACATCTCCGGTCTAAAGAACACTCTAGGGGTAGGACAGACTCTTACCAGGTGGATTCAATTAAATAAACTTCAATTAATTAAAAAAAAAAAGGTCAACCAATTCGGTTTTTTGACATAAGTTGAACCGAATGTCAAGAAAGGATTGTCACTAAAAACTTTTTTTTGCATTATGGTGTGTGATAGTGTTACTCTTGTAATCAACACTAAATAAAATCAATTTACAACAATGCCTTAATGTAGTATTATGGTATGTGATGTAGTAATATAACAGATCGCAGTTCAAAACATTCAAATATTTTCAAGATTTTTTTCTCAAAAACTACGCGTCTCCGCATGTTGAAACTTTGCATGTCTGCTAATAATAATGTAACCTTTCTGTCGTAAAATTATCAACCCCAACTCAACGGACGTCAATGGAAAGTTATGCCAAGTTCGGTAGTTTTCAATATTTTTGATATTTTTTTCTCAAAAACTACACCTTTTCGCATGTTGAAACTGCGTGTGTGGTTATAATAAAGTAACCTTTCTGTAAAAAAATCAACCCCCATTCGACGGACGTCAATGGAAAACTGAGCTAGAACTGCTGATAAACGAATTTAATAAACAATAACTAAAGACAATTGCGCAATAATAGTAAAAACTTAGTACTCTCTATTTAATGAACAATGGCTTACTTGATACTGTACATTACTATTAAGTAACTCATACATAATAATCATTCAAATACACAGTGTCGAAAGATTTAATTAATAAGAAATTAAAGATGAAGCATGTAACAAGCATGATAGTTTAACATGCGTTGCCTAATGTAAGTCGGCAAATAAATGTATTTACGCACCTTTTACCTCGCTGTCTTCGTTCATATTAGATGCTATTTTAGAAGTTTTATTCTCGTCTGTTTAAATTAAAAACACGTGCAACAAACTGTACTAAATGTTACTTTGAGGTTGAGATAATGGTCGAACAGCTGTTGAGACGCCGCGAACTGTCAATTTAAATCCAAACTCGAAAGCGTACCATCAGCTAGTGTATTCTCTTCTCTTTGGTATGGTGCCGAAAAATCGTAATTTCTGGTAACACCGAAGATTATAAATATCCGTTATTACAAATCTCTGTTTACGTTTTACTTTTAAATAAATCTAATTAGATTCAATTTAGGTCCCTGTCAACATCAACGTATAATAATGAAATTTGAAACGTATCTTGATTATTTATATATAAAATGAATTAAAAATTCTAATCAAACATGTTTTATAAATTCGTCGGAATGACTTGAATGACTTGAACGGATAAGTCCTGTTAAAGTAATATTTGTCTTATAGCTGTAGAACCGCAGCAAAATCGGTTTATAATTGCTGAAAAAAATATTTTCAGCATAGACGGGGGAATTGTTATTATCTAACAATGGAAAATGAAAACAACGACAGAAATAAAAGATGTCATGTTAATATTTTTAAAATAACGATAGAAGGGTTTTGTTTTGTGGGTCTTTTATCGATGTCTCAATTTCAGACACATGTAAAATCTTGGTTGAACAGGAGCTGTATTATGGATGACTTTGACAAAAAGACCCTACAAGGGACGGGGAATTGTTATTATCTAACAATGGAAAATGAAAACAAACGACAGAAATAAAAGATGTCATGTTAATATTTTTTAAAATAACGATAGAGGGTTTTGTTTTGTGGGTCCTTTTAGTCTTCCATAAATATGTTAGCAACAATGAGAAATACTGGGCAGCCCATTGCTACACCATCCAACTGTATTTAGAATTCTTCCTCCTACAATAAGTAGCCAGATGTGAGGCAATGTTTAAGCAGTACATGTTGTTCTCCTCGGTGCCGGCTTAAGCAATGGCGGGGCCCGTAGGTATTTCATTAAAAAAACCCTTGATCTGCTTTGGAGCACGCAGGAGGCTGACCTGCGTGCGTAGGTCCTTCTTTCCTGATAGCAAGCCCCGGGGCGGCATATGTGGGACTAACTGCTGCCCCGTGAAGAGCTTGGGAGGGGTGCCGTGTTCATTGCACAGACACGCCACCATTTGGCTGGACCGTGTGTCTAAATACCCTGACGAGAGGTTTGCGGAAGAGGTGAGATTGCCTGGTCAACCTGAGGATACTACACAAATTATTTTTTCAATACATAATTCAACTAAATTCAATATACAATAGCTTAATAAATTTCACTCAAATAATTACGCTCAAACAGAGATGAGTGAAAATCCGTAAATAAGTTACATTTCATATTATGTATAAGTACCTGGAGGACCGGGCTTTGCTCGGTCGGGTAAATCATGTACTTTGGAAATAAAAAAATAAAAATAAGTATGTAAATGATCTTGATACGAACCGCGGCCATCTGTTTTGGGGCTGCCCGATTACCGACCGAGCTATTATAACTTCTTTTTTTTGCGGCGAAATTTACTGTCATATTCGAATGATATTTTTCATTCATTTTTAGAAAATGAAACCTAGCTAGAACGATTTTTCGCCCCCGAATCTACGCACATACAAAATTTCATGAAAATCCGATTCCGATTATATATATATACAGTGTGTCGTTACCATCGCGACAATAAATGAACACACGTCTAACGCTACTTGCCAATAATCATAAAAAAATATTAATGTTAAAGAAAATCCATAATTAAAAAATATTTTTCAAACAAACTAATTAAGTAAAAAAGAAATAAAATTTATAACATCCTATACAACTCCCGCCACAGCGTCGCATTACAAGCCTCTCCTTCTAACAGTATGTTTTGTCTCTTTTAAATTCATTCAACCCATTCATATCAAAAATAATCGAAAAATATTATGCATATTTAATTACTCAGTAATTTGTATCTAAATGTAATTTCCAAAATACACGATTTACAAACAAAAGAAATACAAGCCGAGCAAAGCTCGGTCCTCTAGGTACTATATATATATATATAGAAGAATTGCTCGTTTAAAGGATAAGATATTCACGTAAATCAAGAAATCAATTAGCGTAATACATTTCATGCATAAAAAACAGTACTTAATTACAATCTAGGAGCATAAATAAAAGGTTTATAACAGGTAAAGTCAATAGCATGAGCAACAAATTGCTGGTTCATGTTGAAGCGGCGCAGAGCAAATTAATATGTATTTATGCAGACTAATATGTATGAAATTGAGACATTGACAAAAGAACCACAAAGAAGAAAACGCTTCTATCTTTATTCAAGACCTTTAAAAATGTTAATACTTCAAAAAAGTTGTTAAGTCTTACTGTTTTCATCTTATTTCAGGCGTGCGTTGTTTTGATTTTCTTTTGCAATTATGAACCGATTTTGATACGGGTGAGGTGGTCATGTCCAATGTAAGAAAAATATTACTTTAATAGGAATTATCCGTTCATGTCACTAAAGCATTAGCTTATTAGCGCTTCCGGTCATAATAAATGGGCATAATTTTTTATAAGAAAAACAATGCTACAGCGTTCAGGCGGTTTACATGATGTTAAGTGATTACCGCCGCCCATGGACGTCTACGACACCTGAGGGCTTGCAGATGCGTTAACAACCTGTAAAAAAAGGAAGCTCCGGTTACCTCACCCACCACACGAAACGGAAAAGTATTAGGTATACTTTTAATTCACGCTGGTCTTCTGTGAAGCCGGGGTACTGCCATAGCCGAAGTTATTGGATGGCATATTTAATAAATGTTTTATGGAAAAAAACGGGGCAAGCGAGCAGACGACTGGTCCTTAAACTTAGTCAAAACCACTTTCAACATGGTTCACACGATTTATACTGGACAGACGATATTTATGTAGATTTAGATAATTGATGAGAGATTATTGATTATAGAGAGAACACAAAAATTTGTATTAAAAAGTCAGATGTAGTAGCAAAGCTATATATCTAAATGAATATAATGTTATCGTTTCTACCAATGATATTAACAAAGGTACAAATACGCCATGATGTAGTAAAGGCGATGTATATCCATACTGCTCAGCGTTTAAAATTGATCCACTTTACATTATATGACATATATAAGTGAAAGATGATATAAAACCTATGATGTAATAACATATTAATATTGATATATTTTATCCAATGATACCACAATGTTAGACACAAGTCGTAAGCTGAACTCGCTACAACAGTACAAGGCAAGGTACAGGTTAAGCACATATTTTTTACAGGTTTATGAGATTATCATGTGCCCCGATTTTTATGTAAATGATCCCATAGGTATATATGGGTGGCTTGTAACTTGGCATATTCAACGCATAAATTCGATGTTCTAAAGAGAAAGAAAAGTTTATTCATTACCAGGTGTAGCATATTTATGATGTTTTGTTTGTAGTTCCGAACCGAATATGTAAAATCAATTTAGTTCATAATCGATTTTCTTATATATTGTATTTCGAATAATTTAAAAATTGTGAAGCTTAGAGGTCTTGTGCCCTTTTTTTCTCTTTTATTTTACCTTGAGCAGCTAAAATGGTTATTAAATGCAGCTTCATCCGGTTTGAATAATAGCTATTTGGAAATATGCCAAAACATTTCGGTGCAATAATCCGCATTGCCAAATGGCACATGATTGACTACCTAGCACTGCCAACTATTTTATTACGTTACTAACGTAACTAGTAGATTAGGTCTTAAAGTGACACAGACCTCATACTGTCTCTAATATTCATTACTAAAGTTTTTAACAAAGTTTACTCAAATTTCAATAAGTTTCACCCAGGCATTTATACTTTAAAAACAAAATACAAGAGATTTTAAATTACCTTTTACATAAATTAAAATATGATTACCTCTTAACTTAAGTGACACTAATACATTTATAATAATGACATCAAATGGCACTGCTTTTTGTTTTAAAACTTATTTACATCTTTTGCTTTATCAAAAGGATCCATGAAAGTAATAATGATATAAGACAAGTCATATAAGGAGACTTATTTCTGAGTACGTTGTGTAAGATCTAAACTTTTTTTATCAGATTCTGTTACAGTATAAAATTCTGTGCATAGCGCCAGCAGATGTTACAAACGGTTTGCCTTTATTGCTTAAATTTAATAAAAAGAACCAGTCGGTTCCAAATATTTCATAAATCACGAGCATATACAACTTTGCTATTCACCTATAATCGTAAGTATAACATTAGTTAATTAGCAAATGGACTGTAATTTTATGCTTATCATAAACCATTATTTTCTTTGTTATTATTTTTAGGTAACTGGCCAGAGAGCAACTCGTGCAACGAGTACATCGAAGTTGATTTTTACTGTGCACTATTTTGTATTTTAATTCTTGTAACTTTTCTGATGTTGACACAGGAAGAGGAGTGATTGACCACTCTCCCTATACTCCAGAATCTGTCGGGGCTCCACTGCTGATGCGTTGGTGGGGTGAAGCAGCAGTGTCCGGTTGGTATTGCGATGCACCGTTCTCCTTGCCGAAACGTGGTGAGCGTTGGAATTAAAAAGTTGGTCTGTCACTGGGCTGGGAGAAATGAAAGAAAAAATGACTTTGACGGCAACATAAGCTTAGGTTACGATGATTATGAAAATAACTAACTTTTGCCCGCGGTTCCGCTCGTGGTTTTGTCTGGTGAGTGAGGTAGCCGAAGCCCACTTTATTAAAAGATGGCAACGCATCTGAAACCCTACGGGTGTTGCAACTGTCAATGGGTGTTGGTTATCGCTTTGAATAAATACTGTTTTATTTCACTTCTCAGAAAAGGGATAGTTGCCTACTATGGCGGATAGTAGCCTAGCGTTGAGATTCTTCGGGGGATAGCCTTGCCTCGTGCGGGGATAGTAACCTCGGTATGATTTATTTACGGTTTCTGATGATTTTTTAAAATTATTTATG